ATTTTTTAGCACATATTTATGTACATATTTTTGTTGTATAAATACATACTTTGGTTAAATAAATACATATAAATCCGAGCCCTAATTATTACCGTCTAAAATTAGTGGAAATCCCATGAAGTACAGCGGAAATCGATGATGATAATATTTTAATATCCCCCCGAAAACCGACCACAACCGCCGAACATGTACTATGTAGTGATTACGATTTACATTTTACACTTTTACAGTATTATTATTACACTGATCAGTGACTAATTGTTAATAGTAAAAGTGAACTGCGAGCTTTGTCAACTCTTTACTCTATTACAGTGACTCTGTACACTGTTTTAAGCAATACGCGTTTTTTTTTTGTTGAAAATAGCGGTGATCTGGTGAGTACTATTACCTATTATTTATTTAAATTTTAAATTATTGTAGTAAGCGTATAGTATAGTCATTAGTCAGTCAATTTAAGTTTTAAGCTATTTTATATTGCCTATATAGTATATTTATTTCGTTTGATCATAGTTTAAACTTTAAGATTCTTACTATACAAAACTGTACAATGGTACAATGACTGCAGGTAACGCTCAAAATGTATCTTCAAATGTAAATATTTTTAGCTTAAACTACATAGTTTTTTATCACAATATCACACTTTGACTATTGACTATTAAAATGCGAATTTTAAATAATAAAATATATTTTTTCAAGTGTCAACTGAATTGATTAAATGTAGATGAACACAAATCCATGTTAATTTACATTATTATTAGGTATCTCCCATGGGTTTGTCATCTTATGTTGAATAATTTTGTACTCTGACCTCAGTTTTTAAATCATTATCCATTATTATATTGAGTCCAACTTAATTTTTCTCAAATCAAATATTATATCTTAGTATCTAGCATGCCGCATGGTGAATGTATTACTTTATACCAATTACATAAAAATACAATTAAAAGGTAGGATACCTAATACCAAGTTACCTACCTACCCAGATATTTTTATTATACAATAAACAATACATGAATACAAAACCCAGATAAATATTTGGAAACTATTTAATATTTTATTATGTTAAGTTATAGACCATATTATAGTTATGGTAGCCATATCATGTTTATTCATAACTTTTTAGTTAATCTATTTATCTTAGAAGTGCCCTTGTAATACTAGCTAAATATAATTAATTAGGTATCCCTATACCCGGTTGCATAAAAGCGATGATTAAATTAGTTTAATGGTTTGTTTTAATGAATGATTAAATACTTTTAATGAACCGATAGTGTTGCATAAAAGATCTATTAATACTACTTTTGGTTTATACCTAGTATGTGGTTTTTGATAATTTTGTTATCACCAAATTGCGAAGATAATATTAATTGTCAGTACAAAATTGATAATGTACTCATGAATAATTTATAATGATAATATTATGGTGATTGCCAATTGGTAAATACGAATTACGAATTGTTATACGTCCGATTGATGTGTATTGTGTTTTGTACTTTCGTAACGAAAGTTTCGAAAGTAAATTTGTTGAAAGGTGCAGGTACCTATAAAACTGAAAATGGAAAATAGTGTGTCTGATGTTAAGAAGAGACAGCGGGGTAAAAATTTTACGGAACGCGAAAAAGAATTTTTGATTGATCTCATTTTGCCATATAAATCAGTTATTGAAAATGTTAAAGTAAGTATTTTTTTAAAATTTAAATTCACTGAATAAGTTTGTTTGTTATAATAAAGTACTTATTAACATATTGTATATTAATATTAGGTATTGGTCATAAAAATATTTAAGTATAAATATTTACTACCTAGGTACCTAATAACATTTTTTTTCAATTATATTTCTGCATTGATTTAAAATAATGTTTATAGACTGATGCTGTGTGGAACAATAAAAAAAATGAGGCATGGTCAGAAATTGTTGATGAATACAATGCAATTCAGACGTCTGGTATTAGAAATATAGGCCAAATAAAACATATGTATGATACTAAAAAAAGGGAAGCCAGAAAAGAAAAAAGTCAGTACAAGGTCTGTATAATGTTATAAATTGTTAGAATCGTTACCGTACCCATTTATAGCAGTAGTATAATATGTAGTACTTTCTATTTAAAATTACTATTAATAATAATATTTGATAAATTTGTCTTTAATTGTGAAATTATAGTATAAGTTAATGAGTGGTACTCCCCTGCCTATTTGTTAAAAATTTGAATCTTTCTTGCTGAAATCATCTCTACAACATCACAACAATTTAAATTTGTACAGTTCATTAGTATAATCACCCAATTTGATTAGCATGATATAATGGTTTAGAGAAATTACTTACCACACTATGTTCCTATGTTAGTGTTTTCATAATTATATATTTAATTTAGGTGCAGCATTACAAAACTGGAGGTGGTACAAATCAGTCCACATTATCAAATGTTACACAAAAAGTAATAGGTCTACTCGGTGACAGGATGGATCCACTTTTTAATAATGTTGATTGTGATGCTAACTATAATGCTAGTTAGTAGAACATTTCTACATTAATAGTATAAGATAAAGTTACATGAAACATTATTTAATGAACAAATTTATTAATTTATTCAGGTCATGATATAAGTGGTGACCAGATAATTGTAGAAGAAATTTCGGGGAATGAATTTAGTCTTCTTTGTTCAGGTAGGTATATAATTAATAAAATAAATCTAATGTTATCATTAAACAGATATCCAGCATGTTACATGTACATCAGTATAGTTTATTCTCCAAAAA